AACATTATTACTGACTCTCGACAAGAATTTATCTCGTGTCTTCGTCCCTATTCTGATTGATCAATAGATACTATTGTTTATACACTTATCGGCAAACACAAAAGAAAGTGATTATAACTAATTGAAATAATTAAATTATATTTATAATTTTCTTTTAAAATAAAATTTTTAAAAAATGTTTAAATTAATTATCTATTTTTATTTTTTAATTTTCAGATTTGTTACTTAAATTATCATTTAAACTTGTCTGTACCATAGTTACAACTTCCCTCAACATCAGTATAAAGTCAAGGGAAGAATGACTAAAATTTAGTATAAATAATAGAAAGTGGTATATAAAAGTATAAAAAATAAATATAAATATAACATTTATTATTCGTCCGAGATATTAAACTTAGAATACATCTATATAAGTACATTTTTGGCATGAAAAACAATTAAATGTGTTTGCCAAGTAGGCTATACGAAAATAATGAAATCGTTGATTATCATTCGAATATATTAGCAATAATTACTTTTTTTTTAAATTAAAATAAATATTCGTCTCAAGAGTGTATAATCTCGAATTGAATATTCGAGCATTCTTTTAAGAGTAACAACAAAGCGATAGAGCATACCACATATTCATTCGAGCCGTTATATACAGCTCGAGTGAATAATTAATTTTAAGTGCCATGCTATATTTAATGACATTACGGTTTTAATAGTTTTTAATGCCTAAAATCGATGGTAGAGGAGATAAAATGTAACTTATTCACAAGGACCAATTGTAGAAGTCGGCTCAAAAATTAAAAAAAAAATTCACCCGGATATGTTGGGTCTTCTTCTGTACCCATCATGGTTTCGACTAGACTCACGAAAGGATGAAGGATGATCAGGAGCACAGATCAACAAGGCTCTCTTGGTACCCGCAAGCGGGAAGAGTTAAAATTAAAAAAACAGGACAGTAAAATCTGTGTAATCTGGATTGTCTTTCAGTTCCGAAGAGTTTTTTCCGTTTAAGCAGGTTTCCGCTTTATTCGGGTTCCGTTTTTGATAGGTTTTACTATTAAAAACGGATTTTCTAAAGAACGTATATACATTTCGAGATAATAATAATAATAATAAATGATATCCTAGGAACATTATTTTTCGTAAAATACTCTTAATTTTCATACGTAACATAGCGGATCATTCTATTGCATTTTTATATTAATTTATCATCTATTTTATTTGAAAAAATAGTCTATTATTGCAAGCGTTTAACCTTAAAAATTTACGTTATGGAAGGTTTTTTTTTATAAAATATTTGTTGTAAATAATAGATTCACACTTATCACTTTTTAATAATAGTGTGAATAGCCTAAAATCGAAGAGAAAAAATTTCGATTAGTAATAAATCACATAACCAAAATTCAATACATATATATAAAAAAAAGTTTGTCTATTCGGAACACGACGCGCCATCCAACGGGAAAAATAGGAAAACCGCAAATTCAATTGCGATAACTGCAACCGAGATTAGCAAAAGTATCGTCAAATGTGATTGGCCAAAATTTGCTACGACCGATTGCCATTAAAGCGTGCTCTGAAACTTTCTCACTTTTATTAAACAATTTTACTTTATTCAGAACTGTTTTTTTTTTTTAATGTTTGTAGGATATCTTATCATAATAAAGCCAATCACTGCAGTATGACGTCGGGCTATATAACGGCTACATTAATAATAAATTATCAAACAATTTGTCCTAGAGGGAAGCGTTAGGCGCCATCTCGTAATAAATTTAATAATTATAATTTTAATTAAATAATACTGTACTGTATCTTATCGCTGAAATGTTTACAATTTTTTAAACGATGATGTTTATAGTAAAATTGTTATACAAATACAGTAAAATCTGTTTAATTTAAACCGGAAACTTGCCGAAACGGAAAATAATTCGGTACCATAGAATTTTGTTTTTTACGTCTTAATTGACAAACATTTTACAAATATTTTTAAATCTGTAAAAATTATTTTATGATTTTATATTTGCACACTTAATACACAACAAATTTATAACAACACATTAATTATATACGAACTTCTGGTTTAAACCGGAAGTTACGTTATTTCAATTCAAAAATCTTCCCCGGAAAGAGTTAAATAGATGACCGGCACGACTCTATTTGCTAGCAGATAAGTATGATGTACAGGGGCAAGCCATTACTAATTTGAGATGGAGAACATATATTTTAAATTAGAAAATATGATTAAAAATTGCAGCCCGGCAATGCAGAAAAATAGAACAGTATAGAGAAAAAGCCGGTTTCTCGTTTAAAGAAATTTCTCGATGGATGCCATTAAAAGGAAAACTAAACCTGGCTGCGATTCAAAATACTATTGTTTGGATACAAAATAAGTCAGGCACAAAATAATTATCTGTTTAACTTTATACTAGATTTAACTCGCAACGGTGCATTGTCTTTGTAATTCATTTAAAAAAAGAATAATTTTTCACGAATTTCCATTTGCAAAGAGAGAAATGGGTAAAAGCAATTAGCAGGCAAAGTTAGTAATTTAAATACATAAATATACATAAATATTGATTTACATCTAGTAATTAAACAGAATATATTCTAAAGTGTTTAATATATTCAAGAATATATTAAATAGGATGAGCGTGTCAATGAACGAACACTTAAACATCAATCATAAAAAATTCGTGTAGATAAACAAAACAAGTTAATCTACAAGAAAAATTGTGAAAGTTAATCTTTAATAATGAAGAAATTGCTCAAAAGAAATTCTTTTTATTTATTGTATATGCTTACAATATCGTATCTGTATTACTACAACGCCATAGTTGCGTTCAAAAAACTAGAGTTAAGCAAATTCGGGTTATAGAAAACCGCACAATAGTTACATCACTGTACATTATAGGCTTTACAGCTTCCAAATACTACAGTCTCTCTATAATCCGACATATATCGGACCGGCAGGCGTAAAGAATGTCTCTGTAAAAAATCATGCGTTTAACAACTGCGTATTCCAATACCAGAACGTGAAGCTTCCATATTACTGTTTATAACGACGGTGACGTGTTTAACGAATGAAAAAGAAACCAGAAGTAACTTGCCACAACTAAGCCATCAACGGCTGATGCTCATTGGTTAATACCCAAGTAGATTCTTTCCATAGTATCCTTTTTCCTCCCTTTCCGTTGGGTGTTAATTACACTAGTTCATATTACCCCCGCGTTATGCCAGGTATAGTGAGCAAAAATGAATGGAATATTAGCGAGGTTGCGCCGACATTTTAAACGCGAAAACGTGTACGTCGGACGTTGAGCGCCGCCATCCTGTAAGCCTAGAAGTTTGGCAATGGCGTTTGGAACGTGGAGCATGATTCCACCGACGTTCCAAACGCCATTGTCAAACTTCTAGCGGCGCTGAACGTCCGACGTACACGTTTTCGCGTTTAAAACGTCGGCCGCGACCTAGCTATTAATAGAGACAGCGCTAGGAGCAGAGTGCCGAGTGTAGGCATGGATACATGTTGAAGGAGGAAAACTAAAGAGTGGAGGATTACGAGAGATAAATTGTAATAATATTTGAAAAACGTGGAAGGGAGAGAATACAGAAGGCACAGGTACTGGTATGCGTTATTGCAGGAAGAAGATACTATTGAACGTCAGGTTATGAACGCCACCTTGTGGCCACTCGTGGAAACGAATCTCGGACAGCAGAGAAAGTGGTATGACGAAATTTTATTTTCGATCACTCGCTGGCGCCATCTTACGACAGAAAATGATAATTTTTAACTATATATACCATATATTCTATTTACACTTCGTATATTTCGCCGTGAATATTATTTAAAAGGTTTTTTTTTTACCGTAAAGGTCAAAGATAGAAGGAAGATCGTGTGTCATATTTCGAGTGAGTCTGAATTAACGGAAATTTAACTCTATTGGCATTTACAATTTGTTTTTAAAAAATCAACTCCATCCGTAGGATTAAGTTTTGCCTTTATTAAAAAAAATAATAATTTTTATATTATCAAGTATTATAAAAGACACCAATAACAGATGGCGCCACACACACAATTTTCATTTTCAGCTAGTGTCTTGGTGTTTTTTAAACTTGCATTGTAATAACTTTTTCAACGTGTTTTATATTTTTTATAAGTCACAGCTTAAATTGCAAAAACTTTATTCAATTACTGAGAAATCATCAACCTATTTTACATTCTTTCCAATTCTTAACTTGGGAATACACTTTTCTTAATTTGATTTCTACCGGAAACTTGTAAAAGAGAATTTTCGCTTTTACAAGTTTCTGTTTATTATAATAATATCTCTTTTATATTTGCTCTGGGGTACAGAGCAATATCGAACCATCGTTTAATATAAAGTTTAAAAGATATGCACACGTGTTATCCTCGATTAGTAGCCATATTGTTTACATTAACTAGCGCCATCACAAAATGCGTTGGCAGCCATGGGTGAAGATATAAAACAAATCTTTTCGATTTTTATTTTCCCGGCTCTGTTATAAATAACCGAGAGAAAGTATGTCGATCGGTCAGAGAATGACCCACCCCAAAATGTTTATATTTTTGGACTCGGGGACTTGGAGAAATGCAAAAAAATTCGGCGGAGTTTTCTGCGCCAGCGTTACGGAGCCGTTCATCCACTTCGAAGCTTAATAACTCCTTTGCCTTTTGTCAAAAATTTCTGAAATTTTGTGTGGAGGTTTGTATATTAGGGGCATTGATGCTATTAAATTTTGGAGGTTAAAGGTCGAGGGAGTCATGTGTAATATCCCAAGTATGATCGGAGTTAATGACGATTTCATTCTTTATTAGCATTTACGATTTTTTATTTTTTAAATAAAACTCATCTCTATCCCCGAAAATTAAGCTTTTCCCCGTTTTGTAAAAATTAATACTATGAGATTTTATTTATTTAAAATTATTTATATAACAGATGGCGCCACCACAATTTAATTTAATTTTTTTTTTTGCTGGAAAAATTACACACGAGCTAGAATTTCTATATAGTGGCTACAGTAGCGCTCGTGGCGGCAACGACGGGTACTATCGACCGCCATTTTATTTTAAGTCAAAACATCGAAGTCTGTACCACATGTTGGATAGGATTGTCACTTAGATATATTTCTGGATTAGTGTTTGTAAAAAATAGATTATTCTAGTTTTTTCCCCCTTTCTTTCTTGCTTCGTTTCTAGATTATTACTATGAAGAAAAACTGACAACTTGGTATAAGATATGTTTTTATAGGATAAAATTGTTTAAATCGACAATTGACATCTTGAGATAGAAAAAAGAAATATGCCTGCTGTATGTTCAGCATATAACTGTACCAACAGAAGTAATCAAACGACAAATATATCATATTTCAAGTAAGTATGTATGTAATTATGTGTATATTAAGAACATGGAAAGATTGTCTAATTATGTCTTTCAAATCTGATGTTAAAAATAAATTTTACGAGTTTGTAATTTCATATATAAGAACTTAATGTTATCAATTTTTTAACAATTACAGATTTCCTCTGAGAGACAAAGAACTTACTAAACAATGGGTAAGCAACATGAGACGTTACAAGTGGTATCCAACTAAAGCGAGCTATCTGTGCTCGGCCCATTTCGAAGTGAAATATCTTTATGACAGTAATGGTCGAAAACGCCGTTTGGCTAAGGCTGTACCGACTCTGTTTTCTTTTTCTAAGCGTTTAAAAATAAAACATACCTTAAGATCACTATCCAGGAAACGAGCTTTGGAAGACAGTACTTCGACACACAGTAAGCTTTTAGAAACAGCACAATGAATTTATTGTGAGAGTCCTTTCTGTTTATTGCATTAAATTTATTACTGCATACACAGTAATAAATTTACTTTCATTTATTACTGTGTATAATGAAAGAAAAGTATTGCACTTTGTTTATAGTATGGTAAAAATAAAATATAAGTTTCATTTATTATAATATTCTTTTTCAGTGTCTAGTGGGTCTCATGAGATAAATGATCACAATTACTGTCTTGATAGACAGTACAATTCCTACCATGTCCAAGTACCAAGTACCAATACAGTACCAAGTCCAAGAAAACTTAAAAAAGTGAATGACAGGTTAGTCAGGAAAAGAATAGTATAGAAAACTGAAAAAGTATAGTAGCCAGACTGTGAAAGATTGTGCAATTTGGTGTCTGATGGATTAAACGGTGCAATGATTCAATTTTGAAAGGACTTTCGGAACTTTGGGATGAAAGTAAAGTGATTGAGTGTTTGTGGCAAATAAGAAAGTTTATACAGATGTTGCATTCTGTTAGGGAATACAGATATCTTATAAAGTTTGAGAATTCCTCGCCTGAGGAGTCTTTGTCAATGGGTGATGTCAGTGGATGGTCATCTGGAATTAAATGGGAATACTTTAGTGAACTTGTAAACTTGCAATAAAAGAAAGGTTTGCATGCAGCAAACAAAATTAGAAGGAAGCACATTAATTTTCAAATACAAAAAAATGAATTACATTAAAAAGCTTCTTGCCTGTATTATTTAATTACAAAAACTAGTTAGTTACATGACTAATGAACAGGCTATTTAATTAACTTATTCCAAAATGCATTTGGCCTTACTGGTCTTTATCAATTGGGTGACATACAAAACAGTCTATGGTGACAATTAAAGCTTCAGTAGCTCAAAACCTTAGTAATTCAGTTGTTAATGCTATGATTTTCTGTAAAATATTAGGTTTAAAAGAATTTAATAGGTGTGAAACAATATTTAAATTCATAAAAATGGTAGATATAGCATTTGATTTACTTAATTATTGTCATCCTATGGGCAAAGGAGCCAAATCACCAGTTTCAAGGGGCAATAGAATTAATGAATATGTTAATCATTTCAAAAATGTAAAACTTTTGGATGGAACTCCTGTATACTGTCAATTAGAAAAATGGCAATGTATGGTGTTATTTAGAATTTAATAAGTTTAAAATAATTTTCTGAAATGTATGTACAGGAGGAAAATTCAGAGCTGTTTTAGATGTTGACTCACAGAACAAGCCAAGACCATTTAGAGTTGTTTTCCTCCAGTATATTCATAATAAAGGAGGAAATGTGATCAAAGCAAATGCTGTTCAGTTCAGGAATGCTTATAGAAATTGTTTAATAGCACAAATTGAAAGGTCCTACATTACAATTTGCATGTAATGTAGAGATACTTGCACCAGCTATTAATATACAAGCAATATCTGAAAATGTTAGCACAATGTACTTTGATTGTGATTTATATACCACAGTGTGAGTCTTCAAATGTATTCTGAGAATGTTGTTCAGTATATGGCAGGAAGTATAATTATGCAGGTTATCAAAAAAATTAATCGTATTGAGTTTTTGGAAGTTTCTTTTCGCATACTAATGGGATGCTTGTTTGTGAATTTCAATCGTCTGCTCACAGCAACAGAATTTGGGGAAGAAAGCCATTATGTTTTTCCTGTAAAACTTTTCAAGAATTATTTTAATTGTAAAATGCAGCATTTATGTAATTATGTCTTTGGAGAAAAGAGGAAAACATGTTAGGCAAATATATACCAAACTTATTGTCCTTTAAATAAAATAAGACTTATAATCAGAAAGACATGTAAAATACTTTGTATATGTACGATATGTAAAATACATGTAAATAATGTGCATTATTTAATATTTATTAAATTGTGTTGAACAGTTAAATTGAGAAATTTATTTTCTTTTAAAACTCTTCCTTTCCTTTGGACTCCTTTACACAACACACAAATGGCATGACCCCTTGACTGATGTGTGTTCAATTTTCTTTAAATGTGACATTGCTACAGCCACACTATGCAGAATATTCTAGCTCATTAGTTATGCAACTTGTTGCTGGATTTTTTCAAATGCATATTTTATTTTCTGTTTGTTGTTTATCATCAAGCTTTTTTTAAAGATATATTTAAATACTAAAATTTTACATTTTTGCTAATCAAAATGCTTTTTCTAGAGAAATATTGGCTATGATATCCTGAAAATCTTATTGACTAATTTCCTAACTAAACTTCAATTATTGAAATATCTAAAGTATACAATTAAAAGATTCTGATATAAATTTTACTTTTACAGAAATTCCACATATTAAACTTGCTTTGTATGTCTTCAAATTTCATCCACTTGTAATTAAAACAGAATGTTGAAACTTTGATGACAAATGCCTCATCGTATGATTTAGCTATGTTTTAAGGGTGGCCTACTCCTAATCTTGAAAAAACAGGACAAAAATTATTAACAAATGTTAAAGTTTTTGTTAAAATAAAATAAAAACAGTCCTTTGATTCACAATAATTTTATCTGCACAAAAACTGTTGCTTAAATGGTGTTAGCATGGAGTGAATAGTAACAGGAAAATCAGGTTAAACTGCTAGAGTGCTCCTGCCAGTTGGGATGTACACTAACATTTGTATGCCAACCAACCAATGCATCACATGTTGCAACTAGTTAGGTATTTGAATTTTCATCCATTGCAGCGTAACTTTTCTCTGGTTGTTTTATAGTGTTGAAAAGTTAATTATGGCAAAAAAGCATCAAACTATGGTATTGACTGGGACTGCAGAGCAATGTACCACATGGAAATGCATACATTGTGTACAGTTCAGAAGTAATTAAATAAAGTAATTTTTAATTGTTATATTTTATTTAGTAGATTTAGTTTTAAATTTTATTTTAAGTTAGTCATAACCAAAAGTTTAGAACCAATATATCTACTGTAGGTTTTGTATTCTTACATTTCTGTAATGTCTAATTCTATACAGTACATACATACTGTGCTGCTGCATTTTTAAAATCGGAAATAGGTCTACATTGTTCTCATTTGTGTTTGAATTTGCTATCGTCATTAAGGATTACAGTGTGACACACAAAATGAAAGAAATCTGACTCTTGTCTATTGTAAACAGTAAAACTATAAATTTACAATACACAAAATTATTTAATTTTTTATAAGAATATAAAAGGGTTGTCCATAGTATAGAGGTGCTAAGCAGATGCCTAAAAGAAGGGAAACTGACATCATGTTACCCACCAATTAACTGGTGAGATTCTGATGTCACCTCACCGATTAATTGCCACCCCAGCCATTTAGATGCACTCCAATGCAGTGGACCAGTTTTAAAGCATGGAGAATATAGGGACTGTCCACACCATGTATATCAACGTCATCATATATACACATACACAGTTGATGCTGATGATTGGAAGGAAGTCTTTAAAGTGATAAGTTTTTTGGTTATTTTTGAATGAGTTTGCAGCCCTTGAATTTGTGTCCAGATATTCTGTAACCAGCTGTCCAGTACAGGGCCATCAAGAGGGAGGGGAACTGGAAATTTTTCCAGGCTCAGAGAAAATTTACAGGAGTAGGAACCCAATTATTGTTGTTTTTATTAATAGAAAAAAAAAATCTTTAAGACAACGTTATTAACAAAAAGCAAAGTATTTCACTTGTTCAAAAGGCTAAAGGGACTCGCTCTATCCCAGGCCCTATACAATACAAACCTCTCAATGGCCCAGGACAGGACACATGGGTAGAAATTCTGTGGCCACTTTGTACATTTTATTACAAATTTGTAGATTTAAAACTGTAAAGAAAATTCTCATTTTAATTCTTAATATAAACAAACACACAAGATCAATTTCATAAAAAAAAATAAATTTTATTAATTAGTAATCGAAATGTATTTTTATTTAATAAACTTGCTATACACATGCTTGTATATACACAATATTAATTTACATTGACTAAAATACATGTAAATAAATCTTTTGCAGCAAAAAAATTTTCTGTTATTTAACAGAGGAGATATATATTTGTACATATTAATTAAAATCTTAAAGTTCTTAAATTATTTAATTATAAAAACTATACCAATCTTAATTTGTATAATTTTGAATCTAAATAAATTTTCACACTTACATTTTAATAATTTTCTTGTTTTATGGTAATTATTTACATTGGCACTATATTACAATACTGCATGTATTCAAGTTAATATTTAGAATATGTGTACAGATAAATATTTTATACTGTGTGGTTAATAGAAAAAATTCTATTAAATTAGCATTATTCAGGCAAGTATTTATTTTCTATTAAATACATCATTTGAGTAAAATGACAAATAAAACTCACATTTCTGCAATGATTTTCTTAAAATTTGTAATTATTACAGAAATATTTTGTTGAAATTGTCAAGAACGTGGTTACATTTGATTTACACAAACCTTCATTCACCTCTTGCTTAATAAGACTCGTGTGACTAAATAATTCAATTATTTGGCAAGATAAATGTCAAGATTCATGGATTATTAAGATTATTTTAGTTAAAAATTGATGAACATTTTTTGCCTTTCCTACCAACTGAAAACAGTAAGCAATAAAAGTGACAAGTGACTTACAGCCTGCAAAACTAATTATATCAAATTCAAACCTGCAAGTTGAGAAATGAACAATGCTTTTAAAAAGACCACCAGAGTTTGTTATGCATGTGTATGTATGTATAATCACAGTTCTTTCTCACTATATAAAACTATGCAAGTAGAAGTTTCTGTAAAATTTTTACTATTTTAAAAATTAAGAATTCTTACTGAACAGTATTATCCTATTTAAGGTAATTGTAACGTGTAAATTTGTTAGTATAAGAATTGCTCTCGATTTTGGAGTAATAAAATTATCTTATACCCATTAATTTTGTCAAAATTGATAAGACCCAAAATATACAATAAAATTATATACAATGTGCTTTTTTTTTATAACTATTGATGACATCATATATTCACAGTCTTTGCAAGTAGAGTGGATAACACATTATGCCCCAATATTGTTTCTGGCTATACTGTTTAATAAACATTTAATTTAAATTCCTTTTAACGTTGCATTTTAAACATTATCACATTCTTATTTATGCAGAAGAGCATGAATTAGAGCAGTTAAACATTATCTACATTTCCTGGGATTTGTACTGTTTTTAAAACTTTTCTCTGTTAAGAAAGATTATGATGTATTTTAGAAATTGATGGCATCTTAGAATCAAAGAAATATGATTATTACAAAATGTATTCGTGTATATTTTGATATTTTCTTTTCACTAGTTACTAATATCTAACTTAAATATTTTGTGTGTTTTGTATATGTATAATCAATGAAAAGTCTGAAATTTTACAAAATAAAAATCAGTAATAGATCTTTCACCAAATATGGAAGATGACATTGCATATATTTACATCTTTATATTTAATTCTAAAAAACAGATAGAGGAAGAAAAAACAAAAATATTCAAATCTTTGTTTATAACTTCCAAATAATCTGTGAACAGTTTGAAAAGTAAAAACAGCTAATTCTATTAATGTTTCCATTTTGATAAGATCAAAGTTATATAAAAAAGTTTTTTTAAATACTCTAAAATTAACTTGCTATGTTAAATTTTGATATTAAAAAAATTAATTTGACAATAATTCTATTTACTAATGAACATTTCTTCCATTTCTTAAAATCATTTTAAAAATAGATATGCAAAACATGTATCATCCATATTGAATCTACACAGATAAAAACATGAGAGAAATATTCTTAAAATACAAGAATAATGTATTATTCCTGTATTTTAAGAAATATTTTCTATGCATTTGAGACAGTTGTCATGCTTTCGTAATATTTTTAATTCCAAGGTCTTCTTTTAATAACAATTACATCTTACAATAGCAAATAATTTTTCAAATATTAGATTAACTTGAAATTACATTTACTAAACATAAATTGTGGTGTATGAATATAAACTGTCAGAGAAAATATTTTAACAAGTTAGGAAATTAGAATTAAATGAGATCTACACTGGACGCGAAACTGAAGCAAGCAAAGCAAATTTTGTTTACGCTGCAAGCAGTGGTAAGTGTGGTTGCTAATTGTAGTTTCTCACTCTTATCAATAAATGGCATTTTAAAAATTTGGATATATACTGTAGTTACCACCTTAACATTCTTTTTATTTACTATGTTGTGTAAGTTTATTGAAGTTAAATTACACACAATATCATTTTCAGAATGAAATTTTTTTCCTGCTGCGAGTCAAGAATTCTATTTGAGAACGTTTTTAATATTAAAAACACCTCTCTCATTTTTTCTAGCAACTTTTACTTAAACAAACTAATGTTTTCAGCTATTTTGAATTCAGATGTTCTAATTGACATTTGAAATTATGTTAAACCTGATGAAGGCTATTCAAAATAGCTGAAAACTTTAGTTTGTTTAATTTAAAAGTTGCTAGAAAAAGTGGGAAAGGTGTTTTTATTATTATCTAGAAGTTCTAGCTTACAGCACATAGAATAATGTTTTTATTGGCTTGCACTTGCCAACACACATAGCTGTTGTGTACTACCATTGAATGACAAAAATTTCCAATTCGTTTTGCGAGGTTATGTACACTCACATTTCTTTACTTTGTCACGTTTCATACCTTTCACATCCAGTGTAAATTTCAGTTTAATCTATTACTCAACAAATTACAATACCAGATAAAAGCTAATAGTTGACTAATGTATATTTTTTGAGTATAATTTTAAATCTTGTGTACTGTTCTCCGTGTTTCTAAAGAATGTCTACTACAGCAGTTCAAAACTTTTTTAAAATTTTTTATTTTTAATATATCAATATATTACTTATTGAGTTAAAACTTGATTTTATGATTACATATGAATTTGTACTGCACTAAACACTTCATTTCACTTTGACTATGCATCCCAAATCATATTTAGCTTGAGTTAAAAATGTATCAACATATAGAAAATTAAACACATTGTCATGTAAATTCATATTTGTTTTTATAAAAAATACTATAAGTATCATATGGAATAATTTTTTGTAAAATTCTTATAGCTGTTAAAAATTCATGGCAATTTCTCATGATTTGCATTAATTTTTATCAGTCAATCATCTTTTTTACTGCTTTACAAAATTAAAATAATAATTTCAATTTAAAAAAATTAACTGTGGCTTATATTTTATTACTTTCATAATAAATAGAAAGTAATGACTTTTTATGAAATAGGTATTTTATAGATAGATATATTTTAAAAAATTTGTAATTTTACAGATATTAAAAATTATATGCTCTTCTAGATAATTAAAATCAGTGGTTAAAATTTCAGAAATGATGTAATTGGGTAGATGTAACTTTTAAATTAATCTATGTGTTTAACCAAAATAGAAATTTTAATGAAATCATTTGTAATGACTATTGGAAATACTTAAAAATAAATTTGTTCATTTAAAATGATTTGCATTGCTTTTTTAAAAAAATCCAGCAACAAATTGCTTAACTTTCCTGGCAACTTTTAAAATTTTGATGGCACCATCTGTTATCATATTTTATTAAAAACTTTTTATATCTTTAATCATTATAAAATGGCAAAAAGCTTAATTTTGAGGGTAGGGATGGATTTTATAAAATATTATAAATGCTAATAATGAGTAAAATCATCATCAAGTCTGACCCTACTGGAGATACACATGACCCCTTTTATCTCCCTACCCCTTGATCTTTAATCACCAAAATTTAACAGCATCAATCCCCTAATACACAAACCTCCTTCAAAAATTTCAGAAATTTTCGACAAAAAACAGGAGTTATTATGCTTCAAAGAGGGTAAACAAAATTGTACCCCTCTACACACACTAACATCACCCACAAATTTTTTTGTATTTCTCGATGTTTCAAGGTGCCAAGTCCAAAAATGTAAAAATCTTGGGAGGTCATTTTTTGACCATCACCATACTTTCCCTCTGTTATACATAACAGATGGAAAAGGTGCGTTTCAAATTTATACGGACACAAAAAAATTAAAGTGAAATCCAAATTTGCTGCATTAAGTGACAAATGTTTTATTAAAAATAACATGAGTTTAGATGTTTACACACTGCAAAATAAGAATTTTACTCAAACATTAACATTTTGTCACTGAAAATATTATTTTTGAAAATTTTGTACAAAAAACTGTTACATATATATCTGGACAGGTTTCAAATTGCAAAGTTTTCTTACAATTTAATGAACTTAATTACATTAAATACTCGATTAGGCATTGTTTCAATTAGATTCTAAAGGAATTCAATCTTAAGTTTATCCCAAGCATCTGAAATTGCTGCCTTCAAATCATGAATTGTGGAAAACTACTTTCCATTGGCATAAACTGTACGAACCCTCATCCCCCAAATATTTTCCGTCGGGCTTCTAGCAGGCCATGTCATTAGATTAATATTTTTACGTTCAAACCAAATTTTTGTTGATTTAGAGGCATGCACAGGGGCATTATCTTGTTGAAAGATCAATTTGGTCTACAAATATTTGGTCCAGCTTTCAATAAATGATCTTCAAGCATGCCTTGATACGTCTCTGAATTCATTCTTTGAGTTATAAATGCTAAATCTGTGGTTCCATTGAATCCAAATGCACCTCACATCATTATTGATCCCCACCCATTTGACGTTTTGAAAATATTTGTTTTTCGGTTCTTAAATCGTGCCAATAATACTTCCAACCGTCTGGACCATCTAAGTTGAATTTTTTTTCATAACTGAACAAAACTTCAATCCATTCTTTGGACCATGTCATGTGTTTTTGTGCCCAATCAAGTCTGTCACTTTTGTGCTTTAATGAAAGTGGTGGCATTACAGCTTTTTTTCTTGAATTTTAACATTGGAGATTTATTTAAAACTCTCCACACTATTGTGCTGCTACAAGGCAAGTCTAATTCTTGTTTTATTTTTCTTACTGATGTTTGTTTTGTGGAGCAAACCTTGATGATTTGTCTACAATCTCGAGGAGTAAGCTTGGGTTTTGGACCTGTCTTGAATTTTGGTACATCCTTGCCACGTCTTTTTGATAAATAATCACCAACAGTTGATTTTGGACGATTTATATATGCTGCAATTTCTCTTATTGACTTGCCTTGTGATTTATAGGCATCAATC